CAAGAAGATGATGGTGTAATAGACATGGATGTTTTCTATATCAGTTTTGGTAAATGTTACTTAGTTGTGGTGATGACTATTACAGTAATTCTTTACATCAATTCCTATGGGCGATGCAAGTGGTTTTACTTCATTGAAAATTGCATGGATTCTTGTAATTATTTTGTGGTCTCTACTTTTCGCAAGTTCTCCAACTTCAGAAGGTGAATTTGTTATTGGGGAGACGGTTGTTCCTAGTCAAGCATCCGCGTAGACGACATTTTGCGCCACCAAAATATCGTTGCAGAACAGTAATGGAGAAAGCGTGATAGCCTACTTTTGACTAATTTATACACCCAACGTTTAACACAAAATAGAGCTGTACATCAATAATTGATGACAAACTGGCATTCAGCTAATTTAAATTAAAATGTCTTTTATTTTCAATTACTATTTCATTTTATTGTTGGATTTCTTTCTTTTTTAAAAAACAAATCCATTGCCACTCCATATATTAAGAATTGCAGATTGAATCAGCTTAAAATGGTTCTGTCCTACTTTCTTGCTGGAGTTTCCCAATTGATTGCAATTATTTCTTGCGATGTTAGATCACAACTTTAATCGCCCTTACAAGGTTTGTTTCCGCAATGAAATCAGCAATTTCCGGCGAAGCCCTGCAAGTCAAAGCATCAGCGTCCACGACATTTCATGCTTTAACTCAATTTCTCCCGTGGTGCTGTAAGGCAACCAATAGATTGACTCCGACTCAAAAACTTAAACGTACATGTGTTTCGTCTGTGATGGTGTAAAATGTTTTTTTAAAAGTACTGTTTATTTAAAAATACATAAAAAGATCTGTTTTTAGATTTTTTTATATAAATATATTAAAACTATATAGAAAAAACATTAAAGAAAACATTAATTTAATATTTTTTAAAATAAAATATACTTTTAAAATACATTCAAAAACATGAATTACTACACTCTCAAGCATTCAAAAGCATAAGTCTTAAATTAAACGAAAGAAATCATTTTCTTACCTCTTCATTTCTTTCACAAATCAAATTAATTAAAGTAACAGATAGACAATGAAATAAAATAATATCTGATTTAAAAAAATATTCAAACTATAAAGAAAACTTATTAATTAGTTGAAATCTGAAAACAGAGTGGGAAAACAATCCTCAATGTTCAGCCTTAATTAAAGCATTGTTTTCAAAAACATCTAGTAAATTTTATTTTATTTTTTTGAGTGAAAATTGTAAACAACTTACAATGTCTTACTCGGCTAAATTTTATCTAATCAATCATTTTGAATAACTTTTTACTGCCAAAAAATCCAAATCATTAGAATACCATAAAATTATCAAATATAAACCAAACTATTGACAAAACAAAACCTATCAACAATTTATAATGACATTTATCGACAAAATATTTTTTTGCTATGTTCCTTGATATATACCAATGAAGATTTTTCATTGGAATATATCAAGAAAATTATAATTAAAAAAAAAATAAAAAAAATAATGTGTCATTATTATAGACTATATTACTTATGAAATAAACTATCACTAATATCCATCGGTGAATCTGTAGGTAATATTTAAGCTATAACTTGACAAACAAATCTCCTCTCCTCCACCTTTATTTCTTTTTTTTCCTTTTTATTATTTAGAAAACAACACCCAACACCCCTATATTTTGTCATAAATCAAGCTCTCATCATCACAAATCCTGCCACCTCAACACTTAATTTGTCTGCATCCCTGTCCTACTTTTTTTTTTCTTTTAAGATTGGCCATATAAAGAAAGAATTTTTTTTTTGTAACTGATTTTTAAAATGCTAATTTTTTTGGCATTTTAAGATATTATTTGTAGTTTGTTTATGTATTTATTTGTTATATAGCTTTTTCTCATAGAAATTTATTTTGTGAATGTATGATTTGTACATATTAGGTTTTTTTTTTTAGATTTTAAAAAATAGTATTTGTTTGTAATTTGATGAAATTGAGCTTGATTTTGTGACTTAGGTGTTTTGTAATGAAATAAATAATGACTTATTTCATATGTACGTTTTCTATTTTGTCAATTTTATTGTTAAATTTAAAATTTTAGTAAATATGGAGGAATTGAATTTTTATAGAAAATTGATAATGATTTAAGGGTACAATTAAAATAGATTGAATAAATTTGAGTTAAACTGATGGTAGCTAATTAGTTTGGTACCGATAATTTGTTTAGTCCATATTATTAACTAATGTATTTTGTCATCAACATTCTATGTAGGGTTTATATAAGCAATGAATGATCGTTATTAGATATATCAAGTTTCACCAAAAGTGTTGCATAAGATGGATTATTGTAATGGGTTGAGAGTTTTATTAAATTCGCTTTAGATAAGAATGCACAATTACTTGTCTATCAAAAGTTTAAAAGTCTATGTTTTCTTAACGAATATATTTCAAACATATCTAAGCGATGAATTTGAAGGATAACAAATTATATGGAATAAAGAGTCATGATTATCACAATTGTAATCTATTTTTGGGTCCCCATGTAAAAATAATAATTAAAAAAAAGAATAGTGTCGTTTTGTGACACTGTTCCTTTCTCCTCGCGTGCTGCCGAAACCAAAAGCCATACCCATTAGAGACTTCACCCGGTGTCCCTTGCTCCCCATGCGTAACAATGCCTCCCCCGCTCCCATGCAAAACCACTCCTATAAATACTGCTATTAGCAGCTGTAATAGAGAAGGTTTTTTTGGGGGGGAAGGATGAGAGGAGAATTTTTTTTGAATGAGAGAGAGGGCTGAAAAACTAAAAGAGGGGGAAAGTTTTTGAACTAAAGAGAGGGGAACGAGAAAGAAATAAAGGAAAACAAAGAGGCCAAGCAACGCTGAAACGACAGAGGGGAGGAAGAGCAGCAGCGGCGCCATCGTCAGCTCATCATCTCCTTCATCCCAGCAGCCACACCAGGAGGAAGAGCTGTTAGCAGCACCACCTCTGTTGAACCTTGGCCATTTCTTCCGTGCACCCGAAAATAGCCTTCTCTGTCAACGTAGCCCCAGACCAGCCTCAACCGAACCCCACAACAGCAGCAACCATTTCTTCTCAATAGAGACAAGACGGGAAGCACAAGAAAGAGAACCAGAGAACAAACGAACGAGGAAGAACACAACAATGGACGAGCAGAAGAAGAGAAGATAAGCAGAAGAAAACACAGGAAGAGCAGCCATAGCAAACACCATGAACCGCACCAGCAGCTGCACAGACGAGGAAGAAGGGTAGCCGCAGCAACACTAGAGAAGAGGAAGAGCAGCCACCGTGACACCACCAACTACACCAACCACACTAGCTCATCATCTTGCATATGAGGTCTGTAGAATAAGGAAGAAGAAGCACAGAAAACCAGAAGAAGGAGAGAGGAACGAAGATTGCAAAGGAGGGAACTTAGAAGAAGAACGCCAGCAGAGGACGACACCACTGATCGACGAGCCAACAGGCCTTCAAACCTCGTTGTTTTCCTTTCGTTCCCAGGACGGTTTTCTTCACCTCCCGCACCGTGAACATGTTTTTGCTTTGTGTTTGCACTTTTCAAGTGAAACTTAATTCACTTGAACAGTAACGTGGGTTTTGCATGCATTCTGTTTTGTTCAATTAAAAGGGCTCTTTGCATGCATTTTGTTTTGTTCGGGTAAACTTAATTCACTTGAATAGTGTGTGAACAGTAACTAAGGATGTATTTATTTGCGAAGAATATAATTACCCGGTTACTGTGCAGGTGCATAGTAACCGGCTAGTTAATTTACGGGGGTACTGTGTAGGTGAACAGCCACATGGTAACTATTCATTGTACAGTACCGACCTATGTTGTTTCGGGTGGGCTGAGCCCAGCCTTGCAGAAAGTGGGCCATTTTATTTTGGGCTGATTTTTATCCAGTTTTTTTTGGGCCGGGTTTGGCCCATCTGGAAAATTTTCTTCAAAAAATTATTTCAAAGAATCTGTGATTTTTTGTAATTTTGTTACTATATTTTGATCAATATCAATTTGTATTTTTATACTGTAAAGATACAAATTCAGTATTAAAATACCTGGTTTTCGTCGAAACATCAAAAAAATATAAAAATGAAAAATATTTTGTTTTCATGCATACGACCAATATACTAACATGTTTTTTAACGTTTTTTTCATAAAAAAACAAATATTTGAAGTTTTAAAAATGTATTTTCGCATGGATTTCTTAAACACAATAAAAATTATTTTCTTGCATTTTTGGATTTTACAACATGTTTGTAAATTCCAAAGGGTGTTGGCCAATATTCCAAAAAATATAAAAATCTTATTTTTGTGGAATTCATCTATATTCACTATTAATGTTTGGATAAAGAAATCCTAAAAGGGTAAATATCCAAAATTTATTAGGAATAATTTGTTATTATTCACTACAAATATTTGGATAAAGAAACCCCCAAAGGGGTAAATATTCAAAATATTATTGGGAATAATTGTCCGTTGTAAATATTCAGATAAAGAAACTCCAGGTGGTTAATATAAAAGATATTTTTCTAGGAGTAATTCTAAATTTATTTCAAAACAAACACAGACTCCAAGAGATCTACAACGTCTCTCTTTGCCACTCTATAGATATATCTAAAGGTATGATCCGTATTGGCCAAAGGTTCTTTTCCTTAGACTTTGGACCCAAGTTTCGTTCATCAGAGCAGACTTATCCTAGGAAATTGATGGGATTCGAGAACACCAACACCATAGCAACTACACAGAAAACCAAACACCAAGCAGCTTACCTTAGGTAGGGTGTACTAGGGGTGCTAAAACTTTCGCTTTACGCAACCAGTCCCTTGCCTTAGAATCTCTGAAAGACCAGTTAGGTTTCCTAGTGACCATAATACTAGGTGGCGACTCCCTTTTCACAAAACAAAAACCCCCACATATCTCCTTGCAACGAGGGAAGGTCGTCGCGACGTCGAGCTCTCGGGAGGGTGCGATAGTCACGCGTTCATAAAAACACTCATTCGACATGCTTACCTAGATTTATTGTCAAAGGAGATATGGGATATATTCATAGAGATCAGTCATTTTTTTAGAGATATATGCTCTAACAAGTTGCATACCCAACTTATAGAGAAGCTTGAAACAAATATTATCCAGACAATCTGCAAACTTGAGATGATATTTCCTTCATCTTTCTTTGACTTAATAGAGCATCTACCTATATATCTACTAATTGAAACAAAAGTAGGAGGCCATATCCAATATAGATGGATGTATCCATTCAAGAGGTTACGAATTGCATATTCATTCTAATTAAATTTCTATTGTCTATTTTTTTTTTAAAAAAAGACATTCATTTAATTCCATTCGAAAACTTATTCAATTTAAAGAAAATGGTTAAAAATAAAGCTCATGTTAAGACTTCAATATACAAGGCTTATATTGTGGAAGAGATCTTAACATTATCTCAGAATACTTTGAGTCTCACTTGGAAACAAAAATAAATAATGTTCCAAGACATAATGAAAGTGGGGAATTTCCTTCAAGTGGGAGTTTGTCAATATTTTTTCATCTTGAATGACTTGTACCAAAAATATAGTAAGGAGAAGATACTTGACAGAAATCAAATACAATACTAGAAGTGAAAATATTTTTCCATATTGTACAACATCGAATATCAAATTTATTCTTGATACAATACTAGAAATAAAACCAAACACTTATTGCAACAAATTAAACATGAAGTAAAATAAATATTAGTGAATGTTATATTTCCTTGTTCAATTCATTGCCTTGTTCATATTATAAAATAATCAATTTATAAATAAATAAAATCAACTAGTTTATGGCTTTATTTATTGATGAATGTTTGTAAGTATATGAATTTCAGTTAGGCTCTCATATAGGGGAGATGGTGTTGAATTTTTTTTTAAACAGAAATGTTATTACCTTTTTTAACACTTTAATTTGTATAGATGTCAAGGAGAATGTCATGTGGTCCGCCTCATTGCCTACCTGGTCCTGGCAAAGATCTGCCCCTGCCTCCTCCTCCTTTAGCTTCTATCCTTTAGATTAATTGTATTTAAATTGATAATTTTTAAATTTATAATAAATATTTGGTTTTTTATTTTAGTTTTTATTTCTTTTAATTTTTTTATGTTCTATTTATTTGATTTTAAAAAAAATATTAACAAATTATTAACAGAATTACCGGCAGACTAAGTTTTCAGAGAGTTGAAAAACAATTACATGAAATGCTATTCAACATTACAGATGGAATCACCGACAAACTAAATCCCTCGGAGAGTTCTAGAGAGTTAAAAAAAATTCCATGATCTTGCCAGTAATAATATGTAAATCACCAACGGGTTTAGTTTGTCAGTAATATGAAATAAATCACTAATAGAATTACAAATTGTATTCTCTGTCGATGATATGTCATACTAACCGATGAAATGATACTTGTAATTTTTTTTATTTAACGTGTTTTTTTTATAAATCTATCGGTGATGATATTATTGATGGAATGACAAGCATAATAAAATCACTAATAATAAATTTTTCAATGAATAATTACCATCCATGATTCTCTCGGTAAATATTTTTCTGATGGAATTAGTGTTTAAATACCAACGGTCCAATCCATTGGTAATATGAAAATTCTACTGGTGTTTAATTGGTCAATTTTACTATGTTTCAAAGTCTTCTCCAATGATGCACCGAAGTCTTTTTCTGTTCACAGTTGAGCAAAGAAAATTCAAATGAAAGGTTGAAGATGTTAGGATACTGGCATGCAAACTCAACAAGACAAAAGGTAAGGGACAAGATAAAATGAGAAATGACACACAAGAATTTACGTGGTTCACCCAATTTGGCTACGTCCACGGGCAAGTATAGAAGGATTTTACTAAGTAATGTGGGAATACAACTTCTCTCTAATAATAGGAGAACAACAAAAATCTCTCTATTATTAGGAGAAAACACCTCACTTACTATCTCACAAATACCTCACAATTTTGTGGGATTATTCTCTCTTCACCCTCTCTTCTTTCTTCTCTTGTGGTGTGTTTATAATGCTTGGATGCATTGCCTATTTATAGGCAAACATCCATGCAAAAGACAAGGGCAAGGTAGGTGGCACCAAATTTATGCCTAACATTGTTGACAAATTGGTGCCTAACATTGTTGATTTTGTCAACAATGTTAGGGTGATTTCACATAAGAGAGCCAAAGTAGTATAAATAGGACCTCTTTTGTTGCCCAAATGCACATAACAAACAACAATATTCTACAAACCGTAGTGGTTCATAGAATTATCTAAGATGATAACAATGAAAAAGATGTGGGTTTGGATGTTGCTAACATTATTAACTTTGGTTGGCGAAAGCTATGGTCGTTGCTATGGGTGTTTGGAGGAAGAGAGAATTGAGCTCTTGGGGATCAAAGCTTTGATCAATCCACACAGCGTTTACGGGTATTTAGTCGACTAGACGGTCAATAAAGAGGATAATTGTTGTAAGTGGTCTGGGATCAAGTGTGATACAGCCACAAGGCAAGCGATCCAACTCTCTCTTTGGGATGCAAGGGGTTTGAGCTTGGGCGATTGGGTTCTCAACGCATCTTTGTTTTTTCCTTTTAGAGAATTGCAAAATCTTGATTTGAGCTCTACTGGATTAGATGGTTGCTTTGAGAATCAAGGTTCGTTCAATGTTTATCTTCTTATAATAAAAAATAAAGTTATATGATTTGTGGATGTTAATTATCTTGCTTCGATGTTTTTCTTCCAGGCTTCGAAGTCCTATCGTCAAAACTGGAGTTACTTGACCTAAGTGATAACCGATTTAATGATAAAAGCATTTTGTCATGTTTGACTGGGCTTTCCACTCTCAAGTCTTTGGATCTATCACACAATCAGTTGACAGGATCAGCTAGCTTCTATGGTAACCTTTTCTTTTCTCCTTCTCATATGATTTTTTCTATGCATTTATTTCCTTCCAATATGCTTTTGACAAACATCTTTCAGGTTCCAAAGACTTGTCATTAAGGTTGAAAAAACTGGAGAACCTTCAACTAAGTGGGAATCAATGCGACGATAGCATTTTTTTCATCTCTAACTGGGTTTTCATTTCTCAAGTCTTTGGATCTGTCATTCAATAAGCTGACAGGATCAATATTAAATTATATATAATTCATACCTAACTGCTTTGCAAGCCATTCTCGTATACAGTTTCTTTATCAAGAAAAATGAAGACTTCATATCTATTTAATAATCAATTTAATGATAGCATTTTATCATGCTTGACTGAGCTTTCATCTATAGGAATTTATATCTATATGCGTTCATGCATCATTTTCTTATGTATATCTCGTAAGATTTCAAGTCCAACATGTTAGGATACTGGCATGCAAACCCGACAAGATAAAAGATAAGAGACAGGATAAAATGAGAAATGGAACACACAAGAATTTACGTGGTTCACCCAATTGGGCTACGTCCACAGACAAGTATAGAAGGATTTTACTAAGTAAT